CTTTCTTCACCTTCTTCTGCAGTTTGATGGTGTCTGACGACTTCTTCTTGATGTCCGCTCTGGCCTTCTTGTACTCTGAACAACAACAACAAGGAGGCAGTGAGGGAGAGTGTGTGTTTGCAGGTCTGTGTGTGAGTGTGTTAGCATGTTAGCATACCTTTAGCGTGGTCTTTGTCCAGCTGACTGGCCCACTTTCTTCACTCCTCCATCTTTAGCTCCAGAGGAGAGACCAAACCCTCGGAGAGCGCTCTGAGAGGAACAGATGTTTAAAGACGTGTTTAAAAACCTTTGAATTAATGCAGTAAATACAGGGTTAGTGTTATTTCATTATTCAATAATTCAGTGTTGCTGTTACTCAGAGTGGTTTCATCAGTTGTGTATTGACCACTTATGCAAATAACTTGTGAATTTAATTGAGAGGATATATGTCAGAAAACTGTCTTCAAATGTCTCTTTTTGACCGAATAACAGACACAAAATTAAACTATCTCTGCAGATATCGTATTTTAAATAACATAAAATCACAGAAAGACTGCAGTTAAGGAGGCAAAATAATTTGGGTATCTCTGATCGATGATTTAGTGAGGTGAGGTATTACAATTACTAGAAAACTGTAATAAATTAAGAGCAGACTTTAATAAAAAACAGTGATTATACTGGAGTGTATAACAACATTATTCAGTACGTGTGTGTGTGTGTGTGTCATATGACTGACAGCTTCTCTAATGACAGCAGACAGTAGTGACAGAGGAACAGCGGTAATAATGCAACCGTGACATCGGCGATGACAAAACCCCCCCCCCACACACAACACACAGCGATGTTCTAGTTCCCACACTGTCTTAAATGTGTCATCAAACCATAATTCACACCTTCACCGGTCCTCCTCCGTACGTAATAACACACGCAATGCTACTGTGTGTGTGTGTGTGTGTGTGTGTGTGTGTGTGTGTGTCTTACGTGGTGAACAGCTTGAGTTTGGACTCGATGCTGCGGTGTCTCATGCACATCCTGGTCAGCGCCGAGCCGATCTCCTTAGTGGCTCCTGGAGAACAACAACAACAACAATCAGAGGGTGAGCTTTACTTTGAAAAATAAACTGAAATGACAGGAAACAAATAGCTCTTCAAAATAAAGCTAAACTTTTGGAGAATAGAAACTAAAAAATAAAAGCCTGCTGATGAAACAATGATAGATTTTACGACAGGTAATCCTCTTGTGTGTGTGTGTGTGTTCCATATAATGATATTTAGGAAAATCAATCAGATTAAGATCTTAAAAAGGAGTTTTGTAATGTGTGTCGAAACGTGTTCATACATCATGTAACAAAGAGACACACACACACACACACACACACACACACACACACACACACACACACACACACACACACACACACACACACACACACACACCACACACACACACACACACACACACACACACACAACACACCACACACTACACACACACACAACACACACACACACACACACACACACACACACACACACACACACACACACACACAGTGTAATACCACTTAATAAGACAATGATATATTGTGTGTACACTCAAACTCTGCTTTTCAAAACAAACACTTACAGCTCCTCTGACACAACACTTAATACTGATCACACACACCACACTAAATGGGTTCAGTCAAATTGCATGACAAACTAAGTATTGTCAGACTTGATGGATGATAGAAAGTGACTTTAATCGAATAGAAAAGGTGTGTTTTTTAACAAATACTGGCATCTCAGGGTGTGTTTTTAAATGGTCATTATTGTTTTATTTACAAAGATGTACTCACAGCATGCTATGCCACATTAGGTGGTATCAAAACTCCCAAATGAATTAACGGGAGTTGAAGAAATGCCATATTTGTTCATTAAAGAGCTGGATAATCCTTAGAAAATGAGATTTATATAAAAAAAAACGAACATTATTGTTTATAATACATTCATTCATTAAATTACTCATACGTTAACTAGACCATTAATCATAGCCAGAAGCTGTTGAAAGAGATTATCTGTGTCTCTGTTTTCTACTTTCCTACGGTTCCTGAACGCATCATTTGAGACAAACAGCTCCATATAAAAAGGAAAGCAAATCTTGGATCCTGATGCACTTTGATCTGTAATAAAGTCCCCATCCCAACAAGTTTGCACCATCGTCCCGTCGAGTTAACAGCGGCAAGGAAATGTTTTAGGAGACAATGAATTCAACACAAGAAGAGTCGGGTGATAAACTCTGATTTATATTTTAGTTTTTGCCAACTTGAAGAACATTTGTTCAGATGTGTGCGACGGAAACAAATGTTGACACAAACAGAGAGAAGGAAACAAGCTTGCATGATACACACACACACACACACACACAAGTTGCATAAAGTTAAATAAAAAAAGAATATAACAACTGCAGACAATATTCCAACTTCTCCAGTGCTAACATAAAGCGACGTAAAAATGAAAACTTGACTCTCCACTCCCCCATTTTTCCTTCCTCCCTCCCTTCCTCCCTTCCTTCCTTGCTCCCTTATGTCCTATCGCCTCCCTACCTCCCCCTCTCATTATTCCTCTGTTCTTATCCATCTTCCCCCCATTGTCCTTCATATGTCCTCTCTATTTCCCTTATCTGTTCTGCTCCAAAAAATCTCCATCATCATCCTCACAACGTGGCAGAGGGCAGGTACACACACACACACTCAGGTATTTTGCATGTGTTAAACGGTAAAGGTGTGGCGAGGTGTGTTTGGTTTACTCGCCTCTCCCTCCTGTTGCAGCTCAGAGAACATTAAGGTCTGGATCCATTGCGTTGATTAAGTTAATGCAGCTAAAGTAGACGTTACAAAACTCATGCAATGTTTAGAGTGTGTGTGTGTGTGTGTGTGTGTGTGTGTGTGTGTGTGTTCTGGATGAGGGTCTGTAAACTGTTAGATAAAGGAAAATTGTATCTGCACTATATGCTAGTTTCCTTTTCCTTTTACCAATTACTCTTTCTTAAGTTATGAAAAATGTACTATTAACAGAACTACAAAATGTCTCTTTAATGTCCAAAGGTGTTGCATGTATTTTATATATTTGTTTAATTTGAAGCTGTTGTGATTCTGTAGAATCACTCGAACGCTTCGTCATGACATTTGAAAATCTTTAGTATCACTGCCAAGCCCTGTAGGCGTAAATACTCATTTAGCAACACATGGATTACAACACGGAGCGTGTGTGTGTGTGTGTGTGTGTGTGTGTGTGTGTGTGTGTGTGTGTGTGTGTGTGTGTGTGTGTCCAGGTGCGAAGCAGTGTAGGCGTTTTGTTGTGTGTTCAGACATGTCTAATGGAGCTCAGAGTCGACGGCAGATGACTTCAGAGAAAAATGTAAGCCGACAAGATGAGACGGACTTCTGTGTGGGAGGGAGTTTGTTTTTGATTCACACATTTTGTTTTGTTCTGGTTTTAATGAGGAGTTAAATCACAGCTCTGGAGACGATGGATCCATTATGAGTAGAAGACAAGTGTGACTTTAGATTAAGAAAGATTGTTTCCTGGAAGTTCACTGCATGGTTAATAGAAGGTGGATGCTTCAACATTGGTGGGGAAATAGGGACTTACATGTTTCCTATTTATGTTATCTTGCAGTCTTTTTCTTCAACTATTTTGACGATACATTTCATTACGGTCACATGACTTCACGTCACGACCGCTAAGCTAAAGGTGGATAATGTTGGGCTATAAAGGAACAACTACAGCACGGTCACATGACTTCACGTCATCCACCGCTAAGCTAAAGGCGGCTAATGTTGGGCTATAAAGGAACTACAGCACGGTCACATGACTTCACGTCACCACCGCTAAGCTAAAGGTGGCTAATGTTGGGCTATAAGGAACTACAGCACGGTCACATGACTTCACGTCACCACCGCTAAGCTAAGGCGGCTAATGTGGGCTATAAAGGAACTACAGCACGGTCACATGACTTCACGTCACACCGCTAAGCTAAAGGTGGCTAATGTTGGGCTATAAGGAACACAGCACGGTCACATGACTTCACGTCACCACCGCTAAGCTAAAGGCAGCTAATGTTGGGCTATAAAGGAACTACAGCACGGTCACATGACTTCACGTCACCACCGCTAAGCTAAAGGTGGCTAATGTTGGGCTATAAAGGAACTACAGCACGGTCACATGACTTCACGTCACCACCGCTAAGCTAAAGGCGGCTAATGTTGGGCTATAAAGGAACTACAGCACGGTCACATGACTTCACGTCACCACCTCTAAGCTAAAGGTGGCTAATGTTGTGCTATAAAGGAACTACAGCACGGTCACATGACTTCACGTCACCACCTCCAAGCTAAAAGTGGCTAATGTTGGGCTATAAAGGAACTACAGCACGGTCACATGACTTCACGTCACCACCGCTAAGCTAAAGGTGGCTAATGTTGGGCGTGATGACGTTTAGTCGCCTCATTTAGACACTTGTTAGCAACCTCTATTTTTAAATTCACCAGTGGGGTATTTACCGACGTATTTTTTATCTCTTCAGCTTGTGTTAACCACAGAAACTTTTTTCAAGATAACAACTAAAAAGACATTCAGAAAACCATTGACTTCAAAACAAGGGAACCGGAAGTGTAAATGCCGACTCATTTCTCAGTTTTAGGACTCATTCCTGCATCTCTATATTGGCTTTGTTCTATGTTTCCATTCTTGTATTGAAAGGTGAACTGTTTAAGCCGCTGTATGAAAGGTGCCAGTGATATGAACTGTGAATGGTTCGACTAACAACTTGTCATAAACTCCTCTGGGTGGAAAAAGGAAAATAAAAAGCTGCTCCAGTCGTTCATAATTTCCCTCCTTTTTCCAAAGACACAACGCCAGAGAGACAGAGAGAGAACTGTTCACTCTTTAAACCCAGAGTTTCCAGCTTCACACCGCTCATAATGTGGCCCTTTCACCGACGTCTGAGTGTGTGAGTGTGAGTGTGAGTGTGAGTTGTGTGGTGTGTGGTGTGTGTGTGTGTGTTGTGTCCTCTAAAGACTACAAACTGTATTTTCTCTTTTTCTGAATTGCCTCTCTAGACTCTGGACTCCCCAGGTAGTCAGACTTCGAACAAACGGAGCATTTGATCAGAAATGAATCACTTTCTGACCTCACCCCTTCTGATTTAAATAGGTTCATTCCTACATGTCGGCCAATGTGAGACAACCTAGGTTATTCACTAGAGCCGTTATTAAAAAAAACTACACATCAGATGTTTTTCTTATTACCTAAACTAAAATGTTTCAGTTCTGCAGTCAAGTGAGGATAGACAAAAAGGAAAACTGAAGTCATATATGAGGTGAAAAGGAAAGCATTGATTAGTCTAACATAATCTGCTGCTGTTTCTCAACCAATGAGTGATGCATATATCTGCAGCCCGGATGTTAGCATGCTCCTGGTTCTCTGAGTGATGCAATGGAGAAATCCCATTGGCTTTTGTTCAATGGTGTTTCCAAACACCATGTAGGTAGTAACTCTGAGTTTCTGATGATAGGTATAGTAAAGTAAAACGTGCCATATTGCCTCCAAAATGTAGTGGAGTAAAAGGAAATGTAAATACTCAGGTAAGGGGAAGGAGGAAGTATTTATACCCTTTACTTAAGTGAGTGTAAATACTATGGGCTATATATACTATACGTGCTGCATTGAAAATGTTACTTAAAGTGGACCTATCATGCAAAATGCACTTTGTGATGTCTTTTATACATGCACATGTGTCCCTGGTGCGTCGGGGATCTCACGCAGCGTCAGAAAATAAAACCTTCTCTCTTTTCCTCCGTACCCCAAATCTCTAAAAAACGGGGCTGCAACGGATTTGATACAGACTGATGCAGATTTGAACACGCGCTGACGTCAACAACGGGGTTGCTCCGCCTGTATGGGCAACTCTCCACCTATCAGGGGAATGAGAGGCTGCCGTGGCATGGTAACAGCATGGTAACAGCCATGGTAACAGCATGGCAACAGCATGGTAACACGACGCTCGTGAACACGGCCCCCTCCT